GTTCTTCATTTTTAACAATACAGATTCTATTCTGTTTCTTAGAGTGACCAATAACAATTTCTGGAATCTTTCCTTCAAAGATGGAGCCTCTTGCTCAAAATAAGGGGGAAAAGAAACTCTTCTTTCACTGGTGATAAAACATTGCTGCAATTAACCAAAGATACCTTTTCCCAACAGTTATATATTTTAGATAGCAATGAAGTTCTTAGCCATTACCATAGGAGATTGTGGGAATCATAATCCTGTAATAATATAGTATAGAATAATTATTATAGTATGTAATAATTACATCTCAATACTAGTTTAAGAAGATGAGTGTGAGAGAATAAAGAAATACGAGAGAGACCATTCTGCAAAAAGCAAAAGATTTCACATCAAAACACCCTGTTGGAGTTCAGCAAAGTCTCCAATTTTTTTCTTAAGGAAAATGTCTCATTTCTCATTTTTTACCACAGGAATGAGCTTCAGAGTGAAAACCATATTAAAAAAATAATTACTTCTTAAATTAGCAATTGTTCTACACAGAATGTATTCAAATATGTTCAGCAGTAGTTTTGGTGTATCATAAGTTGCAATCCAAAAGTCTAATTCATGGGGATTCATTCACAGTTTACTCTTGATTGGTGAAACTTTACCCAAAGCTGCTTTGCTCATGTAATGTAGGACAAGTCAGGCCGACTCATCAGACAGTCCCAGAAGTTACTTGAGTCAGTCTCTCATAATGAATCACTTCTTAAATACACTGCTTTTCTGTATACTCATCCAGTTGTCTTTTCTACATCAGTCTACAGTATTTGAAGGTTGGGAGAAAACAATTGCCTTCTACAGAGATGTCCATAGCTAAGATCTGCAGTTATTTCTTCAGAAAGGAATTCTCTTTCCCCACAAATATTTCATCTTTTTCACTAGTACATTGTTGTTTGCAGTAGTCAGTAATTTACATTACCCAGAGGATAGATAGGAAGCAACTGCAATTCATAAAATGAATGAAAAGAAGGGTTTTATGGTTTGGTGTCAATAAGGTATAAAAGGATAACTAACCTGTGGATTACATTCAATATTAGCTAACATTTGTTCAGTCTATTAGTCAGCTATTCTGCCTAGGAGTACTATTAATTTTGGGGGGAAGGTCTTCTCAGAACAATAAGTTTACTGTATATGGAAGCCCACTAAAAGGATTTTGGAAAGTGCTGTTGTGTTAAGATAATTATTGGGTGAAAAAATTACTTCTTTCACTACAATAGCTCACTATCCTAAGTAGTCTACTGAGAGTAGAAGGCGTGCAAAAGGAAGAATAAGTGAGTTATATGTGAAGTAAGTTTTCCCTGCTTTCTTAGCTATCTTGCTTACAGTTTAGCAGACGTATAAGTGTGTATGCGTATGTTTTTGTTTTGGAAAGAAAGAAAATGGCAACCAATCTGTTAGGAGAATGCCCAAAGACACAGAGGCACAGAGATTCAGAAAGTAACTTGGTTTTCTTAGACAGCAGACCTGAGAGAAGGTTGAAGAACTGATGATTCTCACCAGTTTTATCAGGTTGGCAGCCAAGGACGTTTAATTAACGTCCTTAACTCTTAAGTAGGCATGGGGTTTGTAGAAATAGATACACATACATACAGCGGAGAAATAGTTAAATATGAAATTCTTGAAAAGATACATATAATTCACTGTTTCATTATCTGCTTATCACAAAAATTGCAGGAAAGCAGTAGAGTGGGGAAAAGAGCAAATTTGGGTTTTTTTTAAAGATCTCAGCAGATTACTGCTTTCCTTAAAGAAAGTTGCACTGCTAAAAGAAATGTTTCTTATCTTGTTTGTTACAGCAAGAAACAAAGGTTTACAGGAAAGTTTTTGTGAGTCGAGTGTCATGACAGTGAATCCTGGATTGGATAGGTTTTCAATGTAATATATTTTCATGTAACTGAGCACTTATATATTAAATTCTTACAGAAATGTTCTTGCAGGTACATACATGTAGCCCCATAATCTCATGTAGTCCTTGTTCCCAAATATTGCCAAGCTCTTTATAAATCAGTATGAACTGGCTTTTTGGAACTCCCAGTGTCCCTTTACTACTTGGTCATGCATGCTGGAGCTGCTAGTTCTTCATTATTTGAAGGTGAATAAATTCCTTAGTCTTGGTTAATTATTTTTCTTTACTTTTTTAGTTTATATCCTGCCTTTTCTTCAGAACTGAAGACAGTTTACATGGGATCTTCCTTCATTTTATCCCCACAAAAACAATTGTATAATGTAAGTTAGGTTGAGGGAGAATGATTGTCCTTCTTGGCTGACGATGGGATTTGAACCCGAATCCTACTCCAGCACCCTCATTTTCTGATCAAAGTTCAGTATAAGAATTTGGTTTATGTGATGGAAAAACAAAACAAAACACAGCAATAGAGAAAAGAGAGTGATGGTACAATCGCACATCTTACCTTGATTGAAGCACCTGCAAATCTTGCTAGCTGCTTAATGTGTTGGCCCTTTTTTCCAATAATGGCACCTACTGCCTGTGTTGGGATGAACAAATTCACCACTTCTTGCTCTGGCAACTGTGGATAACAAAATGAGACATCATGTACCTTGGGAGAAGACAAGGAGTTGATGATTTTTGCCTCCCAAGTTGGGCTATCTTGTACAGTTGAAATTATTTGCATGCAGGAAAAGAGAAAAAGAGGAAGGAAAGCCAGCTTGTTAATGTCAAATATTACTGGAAAAAAGCAAATGTTTAGTTGTGCTTCAGCCTTACTTCATCCTGAAGAAAATTACGAAATTGTGGGGAAGAAAAAAGATTATAACATGGTTCCTGTATTCCTTTATCTCTCATTCAATTGGTAATCGCATAGCACATAAGAGGTTGTAAGAAGCAGACTCTCAAGATACCTTAATGACTCTTTAATAGCTACTATAAAGGTTCTACACCAAGAAAATAAATATTTTCTACAGAGATATACACAAATTACAATAATTATTTCATGTATAAATATGCATTAACTCTCTTTTACTATCCTAATTATTAATAAAATATAACAGAGAAGTATTTTATTAAATGGTATCCAATTCATATTGTATATTACTGACCATCATCATCTTGAACCACATTAAGAACACTATATCAGCTTCTATAGGACAGGAGGTAGAAGAATAAAATCAACAAGAAGGAAGATCAGTAATTTTCAATACAGGTAGATCTCATTTAGGTACTGCCTCAGGCAGCAACCATTCAAAGTTACAATAGTAATGAAAAAATGACTTTGCAACCATGCCTTTATTTACGATCTTTGTGGTGTCTTCTCAGTCACATATTCATTATTACAATCAATCACTACATGTTGTCCTGTGCCTTTTTTTCTTTCCTCCCTCTTGCAGAGCAGAGATTGTATAAACAAGCTATCTCTTCCTGAGCTGTTTTTCTCTGTAGTACAGCACTTAAACCAAAATGTACTAACTTAACTGCAAGTTAACAAGCTCAACTCTCTGATTTTAATTAGCTGTCTGGCAACTGCTGCCTGTAACTGACAAGACTTTAATCACTTTCCCACCTTTGGCTCATAGTTGCAAACATGCTAAGCAATCACAGTTGCAAACATGCTAAGCAAACAGCCAATGCTAGTCCATTTCTTTCAGTGTGTATTTTTCATTGTGTCTTTGCTTATTGTCTTGCAATCCCTTCCTCTCTGATGAATGAAAATACAAACATTAATTCTCTTTTTGCTAATTATCCCAGCCCTGAGATAAGCATTCCAAAGGGTGGAGGAGTGGGGAAAAAGAGCTGTAAGATTTGCCCTTTTACCCAATTTCAACATGGTTCAAGTTCTGGAAAACTTCCCTGCCTTTTAGGCTGACCCAGCTGTTTGGGATCGCATCCTTCTGATGCTATAAAACAAAGAAAAATTGAAATAAAATCATAAGCACAGTTGCAGTCACATGATTTTCCACTTAGCGACCATATCATTTAGCAGCTGAGCTGTCAGTCTCAATTGTGGACTATCCATAGTTCATTAATTATGTTGCTGATTTTATTGTAATTTCTGCTTATTATTGTAACCCGCCCAGAATAATTGGGAATAGGGCATACAAGTTCAATAATAAATTAATATTAGTTCTTTTAATGTTATTTCCTTCTCAATGACTAAGTCATTGGAAGTCAGGTGGTATACAAATTTAAATAACACAACAATAACTTCCTCTAGTCACTGAGAGTCATGAATACTAAATACTATGCCAAGCAATTATTGAAAGGATAACAGCAAGCTATGACAATGGGGGCTTGACTCCTCCACTTTTCCTATGTACTTTCAACTTTGCTTAGAGAAAATCTTTTGAATTCTAATTCTTTCTATAATAGAAATGCATATCCAGAGATATCAGGCTGTAAAGCATCACTAAAATTATTTTCTAGTTTATATTAGGACAGAAGAACTAAACCATAAATGAGCAAAAGATCCCAACACACACAGATACAAACGGAGTGGAAAGACTGATAATTCACAGCTCTACAACTTTATGAAATGAAGAACTAAATATACCCCCAGTGATCTTAGGATCCCACTCCCAGATAAGTATATGCAGTTTTACCTGAAAATGTTGGAATGTCCCACAAGGACCATCATTATTAAAAATGATTCAGCAAAGCATAAAAGTAGGGCAGGAAGGGGAAATTTGCCATTCTTATTGAATGTCATTTTTCAAGAACTGACAAATTTCCAATGGATTAATTGAGGAAGGATCTATATATTACTAAACTCTGATTCGTATGACCTTTAACTGGCCAAAATGGTGCACCATAGGGCAAAACTTTTCAATTGAGATACCTCAAATGAACTGTCCAAAATCTGAGAGCCATGACTCCTGTAGAATTGAAATTTGGCAAATGTTATAAAACATTTTATGACATTAAAAATTATCATGAAACACTTTATGACCTAATACAAAATGTCATAAAACATTTCCTGTGCTGACATTTGACTGTGCTATAAAGTTCAACATGGACTATTTTCAAAGCTAATATATCTCTGAATGTATCACAGCTTTTCCAGTGAAGGCAATACTTGGAAACTCTGCCATTGTTGAAGGCACTGAGGAATCTGGTAAGGAAGTATCTCTGAAACGATGACCAAAGGAGTCATGGGTTATCTAATAGTAATAAACAGCCCTCCAGATTGTTTTTGGCCTTTGCCATCTCTCTTAGCCAATACTATTAACAATAACAGCTGATGAGAATTAAAATTTCAAAAAAAAGCTGAAGGACAACACATTATCCACTTCCACTGTAGAGCAAGAGAGACCAAGCTAGCATTATGGACATGAACTCTAGGCAATGATCTCTGCAGTTGATGAAGTTTTTGTCTGAGAAGGCACCAAGATGCTACATAAACAAGCAGTAGTATGCATAATATAACATACAGAAAAACCCAGGTTCAATCCCTGCCATTTCTTATTAATAAAATGGGTCTCATAAAACTTTTCCACAACCTTGGAGAGCCACTACCAATTAAACAAGATAACTTTGGGTTAAGGTCAATAGCTGACAGTATAAGTATTATATGTTCATGTTACACTACAAGTTTTATATGTTCATGTGTAAAACATTATCAAAGTAGCAAAACTGATTCTGAGACATGATAAATAGTGCTTTGTTATCAATTGTCCTGAGGAAAAACTATCGCCAACAACTATTACGAGACCATTGTACTTCTATACTTCATCTTGACTGGCAAGCTGCCCATTGAGACACAAAGTGTTGCAGTTGGTGTAGGTGCCTCCAGAAGTGTAAGCAAAATGTGTAAAGCGAATTCTACATGCAAGGACAGGGAAGAGCTGCTTGGTAGTTTTATCACACAGCTAAGTTACTTTCTCTAAACAGGACTGGGTGAATCAATGTTTAGAAAACTGCCACAGTGCAGAATCATTTGATGGCAGCCTAAAAGCCTGCAAAGCAAAAGGCGGGCATGATAGAAAGCAAGGTGCATGAAAGGGTGGCATCCAGACAGAAGAGGGTAATGCACTTACGGAGTGCAGATGGGGATATGTGCCAGTCAGCGAGGCTCCATTAAGACCCGAAAGGTATGCTGCTTGGCTCTACGGCAGGAAAAAAAGTTAACATCAGTGGGGGCAGGCCAAAAGGGCGTAAGGGCGTAAGGAAAATGTACACGAGAGGCTTTTTGGAGAGATATTGGACTGAACCCCAAATAACTGAGAAGCTATTCCTCTAGGTTCTTGCAAAAAAGCCTTTATGTATCTTACAAAACTGGCCTCTATAACAATCTGAGCTTCCTCAATAACATCTCCAGAAACCTGAATTATTTCCTTTCTATTTTATTTCCAAAACCAACCAAAAGATAATGTAGTTCTGATTTTATAGGCTACTAAGAGCTATTAAATGGCTTCTAGTGTCTCATATTGATTAATTTTTATAATTGTACATTTGTACTATTTTATTGTTTCACTGACTTGAGTTCTCCGTGTAATTATGGTTATTATTGTCATAGTTGTGAACCATTGTACAATCTTATAAAATTAAATAGCATATGAATCAGTCTTATGTTGAATCAAAACACTGGCACATCTAGATCAGTGGTAGCAGTAGCTCTCCAAGATCTGTCTAAGATCCCTTATTCACAGGAGATGCCTTGGAATCCTATGTATATAGAGCAAGTGCCCTACCACCAAACAACTGGATCATTCCCTCCATATATTCTGGAGGCCAGTGTAAGACTCAAAAAGGAACAGTGACTTTAACATATGAGAACCAGAAAGAGACAATGAAAACCATACTTCTTTGCATGGAATGACATACTGGTAACCAAATAAGAATATACCTTTTCCCAAATGTAGTCATAGATCTATAAAAGAAGAGTTTATATGTTTTGTTTTCAAAATTAAGTTCATGCAAAACAAAAAAGTATCTTAGAACCCTTCTTCTACAAACAAATGTCACTCAAAAGACACTTAGCCACAAAAGGCAAATTCCCTCATGATAGTTGGCTTTCAAAGAGAGGTGCTAAATAAATATGTTGTTTTATCCTTGTTTGAAAGTGTCCTTCGCTATATTACAAGTAATCTGAGAGATGGATCTATTACTGTACTGTCATGTTTAAAAATCTTGCTTCCACTCTACTGCAACTGAACTTGCTGTTTCTCTCCAATTACAATTAGAGATTACATTTGTGTAAAGATAGTATCTAATACAAACCTGATATTTCCCTTACAGAATAAAACATGTTCTTATACGCAGTCAAAGAAAGAAAGGAAGCCTAATACTATATAACCCTTATTTCCTAAAAAGAACTGAAGGCCAGCATATCAGCAAACAGCCTAAGCATTTGAGACTCTTATAGAAAAGGACGTGGCAGATAGGCATCCTTCCAAATAAAGCACTGAAGTGCAACCTTGTAGGCAATCTTAGAAAATAAACATGATAAGCCTTCAGTTCTTTTATTATGTTTATTTTCTAAGATGGTCTACAAGGCCCTTCTGGAGCCCAGAACTGTTCTTGGAAACAAAGATGATACTTTGTACTTTGAGCTTTGTACTTTGTACAGTACTTTGAGCTGCACTGGCTCCCAGTGGTCTTCCGGGTGCGCTTCAAGGTGTTGGTTACCACCTTTAAAGTGCTCCATGGCATAGGACCTAGTTATCTTTGAGACGGCCTGCTGCTACCGATGATCTCCCACCGACCTGTGTGCTCCCACAGAGAGGGCCTCCTCGGGGTGCCATCAGCCAAACAATGTAGGCTGGTGACCCCCAGGGGGAGGGCCTTCTCTGTGGGGGCACCTACCGTCTGGAATCAGCTGCCCCCAGAGATAAGGAGAATCCAAGACCTCGGTGCCTTCCGCCGTGCCCTTAAAACTTTCTTTTTTCAGCAAGCCGGGCTGGCTTAACATATTTTTAAACATATTTTTAAATATTTTTAATTGGTTTGTTATCTTAAATTGGGGCCAAATTAATATATATTCTTTTAATTGTTTTTAATGTTTGTATTGTATGTTTTTATCTGGCTGTACACCGCCCTGAGTCCCTCGGGAGAAGGTGCGGTATATAAATTCGAAATAAAATAAAATAAAATAAAATACTGAACCTGCTTTATAAAACTTTGGATTCTTAAATGTACATATGTACATACGTACATATGTATAAAAGTCAATATGGGGCAGGGAACTTGGCAATCTTCAAGGCAGAGGTCTGTATACCTACTGGCAATTTGGGAACCATGTTGTTGGCTATATGTACAGATGGACGTGTGTCTACTTACAGCAAAAGGGTTGTAGGGAGCAGTAATAGCAGGTCTACGGGCTGCAGCTCCTGACGGAAGCATGGATAAACCTGTTGAGAAGATGCCCAATGCATTGAGATTAAGTCCAGGGATGAGATTGGCTTGTTGCTAGAAAGAAACACAAAGAAAAATGGGATAAACAATGTAATCTGATGGGGAAGGAGAAAAGACACAGGACTTTTATTTAGCAAGCTCTGGGGCATCTCAGGTTCACTTCTGTCTTTATTAGACTTCTTATATGATTTGTAATTATTTGGTTTTGACAAAGAAAACACATATACACTAGGAGAGGAACTTACATTGATTGCTACCACGTCATTCTCATAGGCTTCCCGCAGTTTGTTCATTATCTCTACTTCAGCATTGGTACAGGCCTCAATCGTACCCTTCACAGTGATGGTTCTTTCAGGGTTATAAATGGTTAAATCCTGCAAACTGAACAATCACAAAATAACAAATGAATATCCTTTCAATACCAAAAAAGAAAAAAAAAAAGAAAAAAAAAGAAAAAAAAAAGGATTTATAGCCAGCTCTAAAACGTGGTCAATAGGGCAAGTTTGTCAGAATGAATCTTTTTAAATAAAATCCAAGCAGTTAAATTATACTGCTGGGTGGGTGAAACCCAACAAATTAGAAAAACGCCCTATTTAGGCAGAAGGCAACAGTGAATGGTTGACGTTGGAATCAACAAGCCACCAATAATTTTATGAAGTGCTTGAGTTTATACTAGGAGATTTGAGGCCTTTAATTTCTGAATGCAACACTTTGAATCACACTGGATGGTAGAATTGCTTGTGAACTGAAGATTTTGAGAAATGCCATGTGCAAAAAGACAAGCCCAGGTTCCTAGGCTACTTACTGCATTAATAAATCACTGGGTTTTTTAGATGAACTTTGTACTGTTCCCAAACCAGAAACAGTAACATAACTTGTGTTGGAGAAAGGGAATAATTTAGCATACATCTGCTGTAAAATACTTCCCACTGTAAAGATTACCACTCTGGTTTTATTATTTTCAATCATTTTAATTAGCACTAACTACTTCATTACAGAGAGATAAGTAGACAGGTTGGTGGAATGAATGGATGGATGGATAGATGATTGAAGACAGCGAAGAGACAAAGGCAGGAAGACAATGGCGGCTAGAAAGCAGGCCCTCATCTTTATAAATAAATTAGTAATATAGAATTATAGTGCTATTATGTTCCTTCATGTAAGGATATTTTCGTGGTTCACTCATTCTTCCAAGCCACATAAACGTGGTGTTTTACTGACATATTATGTATTTTACTTTATTTAAAAGCTGATGTATTTTATGAATTATTAAAATTTATACAGCTACCCATGTACTAAAAGGACTCTGGGTGGCAAATTAAATACGCCATGCAAATTTACATCTCAATTAAACATTAGCACTATAAAACTACAATGTTTCTGGGTTCAATGAAATCTAGATGTCTCTCTCTAAACTAGGCTAAGACAGTACATGTGAGTTCTGCTTAGAAGGAGGGTGAGCAAGCTATGGATCTAGAGTGCACCATGCAGCAGACTAAGAAATAAGAGTTGTGTCCAGCTTTTCCCAACCAGTGTCTCCTAAAAGTGCTGGACTACAGCTCCCATCATCCCCAGCTAATACAGTCATTTGATGTCCTGCATGGGGAGAATGGGTGTTAAAAGTCCAACGTACCTGCAGGGTGTTAGGTTGGGGAAGGCTGGTCTTGCCTGATGGCAGCAACATTCACTGGTACTCACGGAGAAATAGTGATTTTGGTCCCCGTATCTTGTTCAATTTTCTTCAAGTTTCTTCCTTCTTTGCCAATCAATCTTCCAACCAAGCTGTTGTGTGCTAAGATTTTCAGAGGAATCTCTTCAGCCCTAAGGAGTATGAAAAACATACAAAAGGTCACAGAAACATACAGAGATACTCTTCCAAAAAATTTCCAACCAGATTTTTTGGGGGAAAAACAGTGCTGAATATTCCATCATCACCATCACCCAATACTGTAACCAAGGAAGGGAAGCCTACTGTTAAAGACTTCACTTGTGGGCATGAAAAATCTGTTTTCTAAAAACCAACCTATATATTCTGCAATTAGTTAACAGCAGAATAGTATCAATAAGCAATTTTAATTACTTTACTACAAGAAGGAAGTCATGTTATTGGGAAGCAGGAGGTTGTGTGAGGTAACTTTAAAAATTAATGGAGATGTGTTTTTCTAGGGAGTTATAGATATACTTCTTGGTATTACTCCAACCCTTAAAAAATTTCCCGATGTGGAACTCTTCTGTTTATTCTAGTAATTTGAGTCAGTGGGATATAAAGTGAATACAGACAGGTTCAATCAATGGTGCACAGTTTAAAAATAAGAGTAAGATAATAGTGTTTACTATTCAACTTAAGTTAGCATTTCTCTGTACTGAACAAAGTAACAAGCTTGTAGTTGATAAAATAATGTGGACCCACATCTTTACTCTTTAGAGCAGCAGTCCCCAACCTTTTCATTGATGGCACAGCACGGTGTGTGTGTGTGTGTGTGTGTGTGTCACACGCACACAGTTTCATTGATGTGAATGGCTGGGTGCATGCTCAAGTGTGAAGCTCCATTTGCACAAACAACCTCCGCTTGCGTAAGTGGAGCTTCACGCTTAAACACAAGTGCCCTCTACTCAAATGCCCTCTGCTTATGCAAATGGAGCTTTGTGCATGAGCGCAAGGGCCTGCTACTTGCGTTGAGTAGAGCTTTGCATGTGTGTGCTTGCCCACTGCTCACATGGCCTGGTTTCAAACAAGCCATGACTCAGTAGTAGGGCATGAACCGAGAGTTGGGAACCACTGCTTTAGTACCTTTATCTCAATCTTACAGAGAGATATTCAAGTTTTACTTTGCAATTGTTCATATCTACTTTGCTTATGGTTATAACTTGTCATACTATTTACTTGACTCCCAGTAGCTTCTTCCCCAGCTCTAGCCTTCTTAGCTGATAGTTATATTGATTAATCTATTACTTTTTTAAAAGATTTATAGAACTGCCCATCTTATGCAGCATAACCCTCGGTGCTCCACAACAATAAAAACAGTAAAAATAGTAGAAAAAACATAAAATCCAAAACAAAACTTTTGACACCTCCAAATACAATACATCATCACACATCTACAAAAAACTTTATAGTGTTCCACCCTCATACTAACTCAAATGATGGTGGGAAAAGCCAAGATTTCCAGGCTTTTGGGGAGAGTACTTCCTAAGAGTCTGATGATTTTGCAAAAGGCAACTACCCAGGAGGCACATTGCTGAGGTGGCCTTTTGGTTTTAAAATTATTTAAGCAGTGGTGAAATGCAAATTTTTTTGCTACTGGTTCTGTGGGCGTGGCTTGATGAGTCATGTGACTGGGTAGGCATGGCCAACTTTTAAAAAAACTTTTAAAAGCATTTTTACTACCTATTTGCCTGAACCGGTATTAAAAAAAATGCTTTAAAAAAATTTAAAAAAAGGTTCAGATGATCATAGCTATGCCGCACGATTGTCGGAACCTTTTTTTTTTTTTTTTTAGTTTTTTAAAGCATTTTTTTACTACTGCTTCAGGCAAATAGGTAGTAAAAAATGCTTTAAAAAAAGTAAACAAAGGTTCTGACGATCGTGCGGCACAGCTGTGATCGTTTGAACCTTTTGTTTAACATTTTTAAAGCATTTTTTTACTACAGGTTCACCGGAACCGGAGTGAACCGGTAGCATTTTACCCCTGTATTTAAGCCAATTTACATTCATCACCTCTATTTACAAAGAAGACCAGCCTACAACAATGAATGTATATATAGGGGTGTGTGTGTGTGTGTGTGTGTGTGTGTGTGTATAAAAAGAGAGAGAGATTTTTCTCTCACTTCTTTTACTTAATCAATTTAGAGTGGGCTGAATATTGTAGCTTCCTGTCTTGCTAACTTCATCTCTTATATTTATCCCTCTCAAATGATGCCGTACTACACCTTCCAATGATTTCCGCAACCATGGCCTATGCTGAAAAGTGCTGGAAGCTGAAGTTCATTATATACAGCTTCACAAAGAGAAGGATGGGACATTTTTCTCTGGCTGAAAAGGCCAAAGCTAAACTATCAAAGACATTTATCTAACAGTATGCAGTGATGTGAACAAAAGCATCCATGACAACACAACATACTATATAACACACTATGGTCACAAAACACATTCCTATCTAAGTCCAGCCATAGAAATCCATTGGCTGAATCGGTCATAGTATCTCAATCAACCTTGTGGGGGGAAAAGCTTTCTTAAGCCCCTGAAGGATATAAATCTAATAAATAAAGTTCTAAGAGCTGACCTTTCCCTAATCTATTCTTCTGGCTCAAGGTTCCAATTTATGAAGAGGTAAAGGACAACAGCAGGGGACTGAAGGACAGTTTGGGTAGGGGTTCCCCTTCAGTGGATCCGATTACATTCCAAGGTGAGGAGGGTCCCCATTCTTATGCCCTGCTGGAAAGCCAGAAAGAAATAGCTTTTCTAGACAACCTTTTTATATTGATCCCAGAGCCACCAATGTAGGCTTTCTTTTCTTTTTAGTATAGTTGTATGTTACATTTTATATCATCATCATCATCGTGTTTTATTTACATGTATAGTAATCTTCCTAGAATTCAGTTGGATTGAGGCAATATATAAATTTTATCAATAAATACACTTCTAGCCATGTATAAGTACATCAAATCAAATATCTGGCGTTAGAAATGCACACCTTCTCAAAACTGAAGCCAAAATCAGAAATGGGCAAAATGATGAGGGCAGGGAAGAGAGAGGCATATTACAAAGGCAGTTTTACTTAATTGCTTTACAATGATACACTGGCAGCAAATTCTATCTAACCAAAAGTTCTCTGCTCCAAGAAGATCTTTTCCATTGCATGAATACACAAATGAATCTTTTTGCCTAACCCATGGGTGAAAGCCTTTACTGTTCAACCAATCTGTCTGCATGCATCTATAAGTGCATTCAAGCACATGTGCATTCATTACCTCATACAGATGCAATCCTTCCCAACAGTATTATACTCTGACAGTGACTTTGCGGTATCTTGTCTCCACCTGCCAGTGGTTTCTAGTTTTATGCTATTCATGTTTTCAAAATAATGTAATTTAAAATGCTGGTGATTTAAACCTCCTGCTTTATAGCAGGGGTGTCAAACTGGAGGCCCAGGGGCCAGATGCGAAGAGAAAAAACATCACGATACATCACATGATGGCAAAGTGATGCAGTGAGTTTGACACCTGTGCTTTACAGCAAACAAATTTGCCTGATGGCGCATCAAGGAACATCATGCCAGATCATCGTGTCCAAATAGCAAAGAAATATCAATTTATGAACTGTCAAAAATATGCTAACCGAAATCTTTTTGACTATCCTTTACAAAAATTGTATTCCCTTTCTGGTTAATTTTAGGGTGCATTTTTTTCTTCTTCAGAGCTTTGACTTCTCCTGTAGCTAAGTAAAATATTTGCAAAGATTATCCAAGTAAGATTATCCAGCACAAGAACGGAAAAGAAAGTCTATACTCCTTAAAGTTTTTTGTATGTAGCTTTGATAACTGTTTTCATATAAATGTTGTTTATTATTTACAGTTCTAGAGATCACCTTCCTCTTGAATATTTTTTTTTAAAAAAGGAACATTTTTCATTTCCCACCTTCCCTGACAACATAAGAACTACTTACGATTTTGTTTCTTCAGCCTCCTTCTGCATAATATCAAGTATCATGCGACATGCTTCCGAACACCCTTCAGGGGTGGCATGAATGGTTATTGGTTTCTCGGCAGCACCAGCATTTTCTTTTCGATGAATGTCTACCCTGCAGCAACAGAGTGCATACAAAGAAATCTGCTAGGGATCAGAGGATGGTGCCTAACCTGACACCTTGATAAAACAGGCAAATAAAAAAAATAGTATTACAAAGATACAGAAAATTATTTATTTGCTTTCAAGGCTAATTCAAGGGACGTATTAAGACTTTGGAATCAAATAGATTTGGTTCACATGTTATTCCAAAACAATTGTTTTGATAATGGTGTGAATTTGTGTGCTCCTTCCTCCACTCTGACTTCCTGATTCATGACAAATCATACTTTATTATTATATTTGAATAGCATTTGCTGCTTTGCATCCATTGTCCATAAAAGCTTGCTCTTTTCTCAAGTTCAGAAAGTAATTTGTTTAAATGGGGCCTTGTGTAAATAAAGGTAAAGAATACACAGCTACTTGTGTCTGAATGAGACACTCAAATCTAACCATCTCTACAGGAGCCGAAATGAGATTTCCCCTTCTAGTGACATCATTTATAAAACGTCCCTCTTTAATAGAAATCAGAGAAAAGATAGGAACCACACATTTGACAAAGGACAAAAGACCTTTGGTGTGCTTGTGTCCTGGCTAGTGTTGAATTAAAGTATAAAGATACTTTAATTCAAGACTAGCCAGGACACAAGCACACCAAAGGTCTTTTGTCCTTTGTCAAATGTGTGGGTGGCCTTCTCAGGCATTTACTGACTTTAAGAACACATGCTTTCCTGATATTAACACAATTTACATGTATTGAGAAGCCAAGCATTAATATTAAGTGTAAGTGACCTTTCAGAACAGAAAAAAAGGAAGATCTTGTAAGGCTTCTGAGAGAGGCCAATGCATGTAAAAATGTAGAAATGATTGTCTCCCATGGCTGATTATCTATGACCAATAACTCATAATGCAGTTTAGGCAGTTCTTTGCACTTGCAATAGTGGTGAATATCTGTAGCTCGGGTGTAGGATGAGGGAGAAGGTTTGTTCTCCGAGTTTAGCTTGTGGGTTGGTTTCTGAACGTTTTGTTACCAGGGTAGGTAGCATTTTCAGCAGACTTTAGGGGATGGAAACTCAACTGAAGATGTTACCTAGTCTGGTAACGAAATGTTCAGAACCAACCCACAAGCTCGGAGAACAAATCTTCACCCTCAGTTCTTTGCACTGCCATGCATTTCTGCCAATGAAGACCTTAAGGAAACAGGCCCAACTATCTAACTCTGCATGAGAACAATTTGACAGGAAAGAGATTGCCAGACTGAACAATTAAAAATGCCATTCAGTTTTTTTCTGAATTGGCCTTCATTTACTACTAGCATCAAAATTTTCATAGAGTAGGGAACAATATTGATACAGGAAAAAGAAAAATTGGAGATTACAAAGAGACAGAGAATAAGAAAGACATAAAGGGGAAGAGAGAAATCTTTGAATTTGCAACTATCTCCAAATACATCTAGCCTTCTAAACAGGCATCTTTGATGGAATTTGGCTGACAGAGTAGCTATGTTGAGGCTATATACAAAAAGAATGGACAGAAACATATCCATTCAGCAAGCATTTATAGTTACAATTACAATTACGATAGATAGATGCGACCACTTGCAGGAAGCCTAAAGATATATGGACCAATATCTGTAAGTCCAAGCATATCTAGGCATCATCATATAGTTTGGTTCTAAAAACACTAGACCATCATGTTGCACTGGCAAACCGTATCAAAATGTTTTTTGAAAGTGGAATAAATGTCAAAAGGTGAGAATGGGCACAATCCTGCGGTCTAGGTCCAAATTCTTTTTGTGAAATAGTGAAAACAACAGAAAATGAATAAAAAGTCATCTATACTCTTTAGCTACAGTATCATTCACAGTATTTTTAGGAAAATAATTACCCAGGAAAATGATATAAAATTTCAATTAATAATCTGAACAGTACTATATACATAACCATTGCAGTCTCAGATACCAAGCATTACAGAATACAGTGATTGCAATTTCTCCTTGCTCTACTCAATAGGTGAGTTGGGAAGGTTTTCTTTTAAGGGTGGCCTACAAATATTAAGTAAATAAATGGCATTCTTATTTCATGCAGGCTGATATACAATTTGCCTTCAGTAAAATACCAAGCATCATAGTGCAAGATGTTTCTAGTGGTTCTGGAGGTAAATATACACAATATTTAAATACAGATAAGAAGGTAACTTCCAAGCTCATGCCTCCAACAGATCACTGAAGATATTATTAGACTTAATTATAGTGGCCTGGACACAGCACGGAAACGGCATTGGTCGCGTTGGTTGATGATCTCTGGAGGGCTCGGGACAGGGGTTGTTCCTCTGTTCTGGTCCTGTTAGACCTCTCAGCGGCTTTTGATACCATCGACCATGGTATCATGCTGCACTGGTTGGAAGAGTTGGGGATGGGGGGCACCGTATTACGGTGGTTCTCCTCCTTTCTCTCCGACCGGTCGCAGTTCGTGTTGGCAGGGGGGCAGAGGTCGACCTCAAGGCCTCTTATATGTGGAGTGCCTCAGGGGCCGGTCCTCTCGTCCCTCCTGTTCAACATTTATGTGAAGCCGCTGGGCGAGATCATCCGTGGCTTTGGGGTGAGATACCACCAGTACGCTGATGACACCCAGCTGTACATCTCCACCCCAGGCCACCCCAACGATGCCCTTGAAGTGATGTCCCAGTGCCTGGAGGCTGTGCGGATCTGGATGGGGAGGAACAGGCTCAGGCTCAACCCTTCCAAGACTGAGTGGCTGTGGCTCCCAGCATCCTGATATAGTCAGTTGACTCCATCACTGACTATTGGGGGCGAGTCGTTGGCCCTCACAGAGAGGGCTCGCAATCTGGGAGTCCTCCTGGATAGGCAGCTGTCCTTGGAGGAACATCTGACGGCTGTAACCAGGGGGACCTTTTGTCAGGTTCGCCTGATCCGCCAGTTGCGGCCCTTTCTTGATCGGGATTCCCTGTGCACAGTCACTCATGCCCTCGTCACCTCTCGCCTTGACTACTGCAACGCTCTCTACATGGGGCTCCCCTTGAGGAGCACCCGGAGGCTCCAACTGGTCCAGAATGCAGCAGCGCGGGTAGTGACGGGAGCAGCATGGCGCTCCCATGTAACACCGCTCCTGTGCGAGCTGCACTGGCTCCCAGTGGTCTTCCGGGTGCGCTTCAAGGTGTTGGTTATCACCTTTAAAGCACTCCATGGCATAGGGCCTAGCTATCTTCGAGACCGCCTGCTGCCACCGACGACCTCCCATCGACCCGTGCGCTCCCACAGAGAGGGCCTCCTCGGGGTGCCATCAGCCAAACAGTGCAGGCTGGTGACCCCCAGGGGGAGGGCCTTCTCTGTGGGGGCACCTACCCTCTGGAATCAATTGCCTCCAGAGATAAGGAGAATCCAAGACCTCAGTGCCTTCCGCCGTGCCCTTAAAACCTTCCTTTTCCAGCAAGCCGGGCTGGCCTAATTTTTTAAGTGTTTTTAAGTGTTTTGTTTATTGTTTTTAATTAATGGGGCCAAATTTATATATATATATATTTTAACTGTATTTTAATATTTGTACTTAATGTTTTTACTTGGCTGTTCACCGCCCTGAGTCCTCAGGGAGAAGGGCGGTATACAAATTCAAAATAAAATAAAATAAAAAATAAAATAAATAAAAAATTAGAGAGCTAACATTGAGATGAAGGATCAAATAGTAATTCCACAATGATTTATACTATTTATGACAAAATGAGAAACATATTTTTAATCTCATCAGTTGGCTGAAAATATTTCTCTTTGAATAGTAGAAATCATCCAGAGGTGGCTGAAAAGAAGCAAAAAAAAAAAATCTGGAATGGGGAAAACATGCTGGGTTACAGTAATATCTTAGAACAGATGAGTAGAACATGCCCATAATTTTGAAAAACAAGATGAGTGAAGCTGACAGGATAAACATTAACAGGACTACAGTACCTATTAAAACATTCCTAAGAATTTGTACAAAACACATCAATAGTGAGTTAAAAGGCTTTTACACAAGGTAACAAGCTTTTGCCATGTAATGCACAGACGAGCTCACAGTTCAGCATTCGGTCCAAAGATCACAAGCTAAAGACACGAAGCTACAAACAGAACCCTTATAGAAGGAAATTAAACCATATGTGATACTTACTTGGACTGGGTTTGCTTAGTAAGGTTCTTTATGGTCAAGCCCTCCTTTCCTATGATCGCACCAACAAATTGCGTGGGGACCAGGATCCGTAGAGGGAAATCGAGCTGTTTAGGCTGCGAGGAGCCCCCAGGGGAGGGGCCCTGCTCTCTGGAAGAGTGGCCCCCACGCCGGGATCTCTGGGTGGGCTGAGGGGAGCTCACCTCGTCGTCTGGGATGTAGGAAATCTTGAAGGAATAGTTCTCAAACTGGTGACCACTAAGCTTCTCAATTGCTCTAGAAATACAAAGAAAGGAGTGGGGAAAATAATTACTACAAGAAATGTTTACTTCAACACACCAGCCTCTGTAACAACCTGTCTCAATGTGGCACCTGAAGGTCCATGATCACCATCCATCCATATACCCCAAATAATTATGGGAATTATAGTTTGGAGAATGTTTTTTGAAAGAAAATCATGCCAATTACATTCCTGGTTCCCTACTTGGCATTTGTACTACCACCAATACAACAGATCACTGAGGATATTATCAGACTTAATTAGAAAACTAACATTGAGATGTTTTATTTCAATATGCTTACTAAAATAGAGGTATGTGACATTCCTAATGTATGAATGCATATCTCAATTCTAATGGTTGATTTTACCTTTTGGAAATCACAAATGCCATGATAAAACACAAGAGGAATTTTGAAATATTGAACATTCAAAA